TATTGATAGTTTTTGTAGGGTTTTGTAAGCTGTGTTTATATTTCAGGATCTCCATTATTCCATGATTCCACAATCAGGGTTCATCACAACACACACACCTTGAGGTAGTACCTAAACCATTGCGGGGGAGCTGGGGAAGGTCCATAGGCCTTGTGATTTTGAAGGAAGCACTGCACTGGGCTCACATTTTACTCCTCCTCCCAAAAACTAGAAGTTTTTAAACCAACAATGAACATTCAGTTTTTCAATAAAATCAGGAAGATTTGACCAAATTGGAGGCTTGTCCATGAAAGTTTATTTTATAGTCAAAAAGCCGCCTTTTTTTTGGGGAAAAAGGCCACCAATTCTATGTGGCTCCATTGAATACTGTGAAACAGCTCAGGTTTAAATTAGTGGAGGATCCAGCACTACATTTAAATTATACCTCAGATTGCCCATCTGTACAACAGGGATACCGGGGTTTGCCCATACTTTGCAAGTGCTTTGAGAGCCACAAATGAAAAAGAGTGAAGAGTTATGGGTTGAAAATCTACAGTATATTTAGGTGCCACTGAGCTGCACAGTCAGATGGCTGGAATTCTAGCCTTTAAACAAACATGATGCTATTCGAATTAAGATCAGGTGGCACAGGAACAGAAGCCAGCAGTGGAAAGAAGTGGGGTTTGATAGGAGATTGCAGGGAGAGAGAAAGCTTAGCACACTGGAAGGATGTCATTCCAGGCCAAGGAAGAGCAATGTGAAGAGAGGAATGAATGTCAGAGTCAGAGATTAAGGAAGCAACAATGAAAGGAGAGAGCCCCAGAAGGTGAGAGAGTTCAGGACCAATGAGTGGAAGATGAGACTGAAGTGGAACCTTAGCAAAGATGAGGAGTCTGATCTTTAAGCAAAGAGGAATGAAAGGCCAAAAGGAGGAGGCATAACTGCTAAAGTGGCAGGAGAGGATTATTTTAGTTGCTACGTGATGTCAAGGTAGGAGGAGGAAGTTGCAGGAGAAGAGCAGTTTACTGTAGCCCCTTTAAGAGTTCATGCCCTGGCACGAATCAGCATTTTAACCAGTGAGAAAGCATGGGAAGTGTTAGGAAGTGACTAGATTTACTGAGAGAGAAAGAGTAACTCCAGCATTAGGAGACCGACAGAAAACAGTGGAGTTGTTACTGATGAAGTGAGGAGGCCAGGTAGTTTAGGAGGAAAAAGTACAGTTCAGCTTCTGTTGTGTTTAATTTAGGGCATTAACAGAACATGCAGAAGGATATGCAAGCTTAGGCCTGGTCTACACTATGACTTTAATTTGGATTTAGCAGTGTTAAATCAAGTTAACCCTGCACCCGTCCACACAACGAAGCCATTTATTTCAAAATAAAGGGCTCTTAAAATAGATTTCTGTACTCCACCCCGACGAGCGGAGTAGCGCCAAAAAAATAGATACTGTCATTTCGAATTAGGGTTAGTGTGGCCGCAATTCGATGGTATTGGCCTCCGGGAGCTATCCCACAGTGCACCATTGTGACTGCTCTGGACAGCAATCTGAACTCGGATGCACTGGCCAGGTAGACAGGAAAAGCCCCGTGAACATTTGAATTTTATTTCCTGTTTGCCCAGCGTGGAGCGCACAGGTGACCACAGATAGCTCATCAGCACAGGTAACCATGCAGGCCGATAATTGAAAAAGAGCCCCAGCATGGACCGTACGGGAGGTACTGGATCTGATCGCTACATGGGGAGAGGATTCAGTGCTAGCAGAACTACGTTCCAAAAGAAGAAATGCCAAAACTTTTGAAAAAAATCTCCAAGGGCATGATGGAGAGAGGCCACAATAGGGACTCAGATCAGTGCCACGTGAAAGTCAAGGAGCTCAGACAAGCCTATCAAAAAACAAAGGAGGCAAACGGTCACTCCGGGTCAGAGCTGTGGACATGCCGCTTCTACGCCGAACTGCATGCAGTTCTAGGGGGGGGGGGGGGGGCACCACCACTACCCCACCTCTGACCGTGAATTCCGAGGCGGGGATAATCTCATCAGCTACACCTGAGGATTCTGCTGACGGGGAAGAGGAGGAGGAGGAGGATGAGCTTGCGGAGAGCACCCAGCACTCCGTTCTCCCCAACTGGCAGGATCTTTTTCTCAGCCTGACTGAAGTACCTTTCCAACCCTCCCAAGCCAGTATCCAAGACCATGACTCAATGGAAGGGACCTCGGGTGAGTTTACCTTTTAAAATATAAAACTTGTTTTAAAAGCAAGCGTTTAATTATTACTTTGCCCTGAGGACTTGGGATTCATTCGCGGCCAGTACAGCTACTGGAAAAGTCTGTTAACGTGTCTGGGGATGGAGTGGAAATCCTCCAGGGACATCTCCATGAAGCTCCTCCAAAAGCCTTGCCACAAGGTTTCTGGGCAGAGCAGCCTTATTCCGTCCTCCATGGTAGGACACTTGACCACGCCATGCTAGTAGCAAGTAATCTGGTATCACTGCATTACAAAGCCTGGCAGCGTATGGTCCCGGTGTTTGCTGGCATTCAAGCAACATCTGTTCTTTATCTCGCTGTGTAATCCTCAGGAGAGTGATATCGCTCACGGTAACCTGGTTGAAATACGGGAACTTAATTAAGGGGCTAGAGGTGGCTGCTCCTACTGGGCTGTTCGCCTGTGGCTGAAAAGAAATCCTTCCCTGCAGTTATCCAAGCGTGGGGCGGGGGAGACGGGCCTAGCCCGGAGCTTTTCGCGTTTGGCTAGCAGGGATCTTCCCTGATA